CCAGTTCTACCTAATGTAATAAGACTTTGCCCTGTTTGTTTTGTCTTCCTTTTAGTCAGTTTCATGATGCTAGGCATATGGGTTTTTTTGTGTTAAGATTTGTCTTGGTTTATGCAGAACACCAAGTTATTTATCTTGAGGACTGTATGAATCACGTTTGCTTCTGAACAGGATGATTTTGGGGAAGCTTCAACTTTAGTTTGCTTATTGGAGGTGAGGGGGAAGCTGCAAATCAGACAGAATGTTGACTGTGACTTAAAGTATAACATTATTAGTCAGAGGAAATAAAGTTGCAGAACAAGTGAAAAAAATAAAATTCATATTTTATGACAGTGTTTGGCCTTAGGAGTTTTTTTAACTGAAACTGTTTAAGCCATGCTAGTGTCTTTACTGCTTAATTTGTGCTTCAGCTACAACTTCCATAGGAATATTTTTTTCCCTTTCAACATTAGCTGTAATAGGATTGATCTAAGACAAACTGTATTAACATGTTGGAGATGGGCAAGTGCAACTTTAAAGGCATTTCAAGTAACAAAGCTAATTCTGCTTGCTGATATCATAGTGGGAATCTGTTTTGTTTCTGTATTACTAAGCATGAGGCATTCATTTCAGCTTGTTTAATGTTATTAATGACAGTGCAGCTATAGAAATAACTTTAAGCTCAAGTCTCAGACTTAAAGACCTATTTCTTTGAGTGGGACGTATTTCTTTGGGTGATGTTATTGCAGGATTCTCAAAAACTTCAAAGCCAAGGAGGGAAGCTTGCACTGTCTGTGTCCATGTGCACACACATGTGCACATGTAGTAGCGATGGTTTTATGTTTTGCTGTGATTATGTTTTCTATCCTTGCTCTCTTCCCATCCTCCCCTGCCCTGTCCATCATGTACTTTGCTAAAGTGCTTTTGAGTTTGAAAGTGCTTTACAGTGTTGAGAAATGTGGATTCTGAATTAAATTTTGTAGCTGAGTGGAGTTTGTGCCTATGGAAGGAGAACAGTCAAAAGTCTGAACCTAACTTTTGTGCTGTGGGAAATACGCAATATCACTTTCTTAGTTTACTATATGAATAACATTTATGTAATTCATGTTCGTAAAATTGTCACTATGATTACTTGTTTCCATACATGTAACTTATGATTGCTTGGTTATTATCTGTAGCAGGCTTTTTTTATGCTGGGTTTACCACTAAGTAACCTATAAACAATCTAAAGGCTTTATTTCATTAAAGAGATTTGCTATGTGGATATATTGAGTCCAGCTTACTACACTATGGTGTCCATAGTTTCTTTTTGATCCCAATGAAGAGTAATGCTTCATAATTAAATTAAACTTTGATAGCTGGATACAGATGAACTTAAACTTGAACTTAAAATTGTTTAAGTACAGTGTTGCATTAGAATTTTGTCTTAAAATGAAATGATATCTTCAGTGGAAGATTAATAATTCAAGTTATAGTCAGTTTCAAATCTGTGGCTAAAATGATCCATCTGGGGATGATTTGAACTTCTCAAATTCTCTTGTCCATTTTTAAGGGATTTCTTTTAAAATATATTTCAAAAGATAATAAAATTGGTCACAAGTTCACAGGTCATATCAACAGGTCTGTTTAATGTCTAATTAAATGTAGTTCAAATTGAGTAGTAAGCTCTTACTTTGCAAAATAATTTATAACCTCTGGGTCACCAAGGCAAGACCAGTTTGATTTTCAGAGTAATATTTTAAATAATGTTGATGCTGGAAGTCCTGTCAAAGACTTGCATTCATCATCCAAGATACCAGAACCCATGCTGTCTGTTACTTACCCAAATCAGCCATGATATTTGGTATTACTGTGTAGTTCTACAGCATGATTTCCATCACATATGTCCACTGTGAGCTTCCAGTATCATCAGTAGAAGCTGACCGCTTTAAATGTGCACATTTGAAAGATTACATTTTATTGCTTGCCTTATTTGGTTTTAAATTTATTTATTTTTTTACATAACTTTGAGTTAAAGCATATTGTGTTGTATTATTTGAACATGCTTATTTTTAAGTGACATCTGCATTTATTTTTGTAAAATCTCCTTTGGCGAATAAGCAGCCACAAACTTTTATGTATTACATCTTTATAAGTGCTTCATAATGCAGTGCAATTGATGTATTTAAAAAGGAATATAATGATGTAGTGATTTCATTCTTCTTGATAGCAGACAGTGTCCATTTTACTTCCTTTTACTATATCTAAATGGCAAGGTCTACGTTTTTCTTTTATATTACTTAGTTTCAGGAAGCAGGATGAAAGGAAATTCTTTGTAAATGCATGTTTGTGAAATTTATAACACTTAGTAATAACAATATAATTAATACATGAACTGCTAAAATTATTTGGTCAAAGTTGAGTTATAGGACTACATGGATAATGGCAGGTGGGTTTTGGCTGATGTGTCTCTAAACCATCCCAAACTGAATCATGTTACTATGGGAATGTAGGCATCCCTACTGTTGTCATGGTCTGTCTGCAGGTAATGAAGCTAGGCAAAGTAAGCAGATTTTGCAACTGAAGTTTCATAAAGTTCTGGAGGACCTCAATACAAAACAACTTTATTGTTCATTTATTTTTCCCCCTGGGGAACATGCAGAGAATATTTTTCAAACTCACCTGAGGTGTTATTTTATCACTTTTCTTGCCACTGTTCTAGTATCCTACTTGGAGACTGTAGAAATGCAGATGTTCTGAAACACTCTATTGTATCAGTAATAGCTTGTAGACAGTGAAATCTGACTTCATTATGTGCCTGAGATTTACATTAAGGTTGGTGTTTTTATCTTTTGTTCTCATGAAAAAAACTAAGCTTGTTTTCTAAGACTTAGGAAATACTCATAAATTTTGCAATAATTTTTTCCCCTTAATTATTAATCATAAATGTTATTGTTTTGTAAAGCAAACAATCTTAGAGTAGAAAAATATTTTGTGTCCATAGTGCTCTGTCTTGTGCTTCCTGTCCTTGTCTTGGAGGAAGGGAGCATGCACAACTAACTACTGCTTTCTGATTGATATTTTATGAAAGCTGTCTGCTTTGTTTTAGTACTTTTAAGTAGGCAGGAAAATCCATGAAAGAAGTTACATGAAGATGTGTGGTACTCTTCAGTGTAGTACATGTATACTTCTTGGCCTCTGAGAAGAAAGTCTTTTCTGTTTCACCTCTTGTAATAATAAAAAAAAATCTCTTTAATTGATGATATCTTTTATTTATATTGGCTCTGTCACCTTAAAAATAGTCAAATCTTACAGTCTTTATTGATGCAAACCACAAATTAGCTTTGATGGGAGTTGCTTACACAGAAGAGCTGTGGGATGCTGTGATGTGGTTTAGTTTGTAGCTGATACAAAGCAGCATGAGGCTGATGATGAAGTATAAGAAGATTGGGGTGGTCTGGTTTAAATATTTATGGATGCCCTGATTCCTTGTTTTTTGCTAATGTCTCCTGATTACTGAACTGTTGTGGGAAGTGACTCAAGTCCACCTAGGCTTCTCGCTTTCCTTGTTCCTAATGTGAATATACCAGTCTAAGTATAAATTAAAATAGTGGGTTAAGAGAGGGCACAGTGAGTACCTTTCCATCACCAGTAGTTTAAAAAAAAAAAAGACCTACTGACTTCGTAAGTCAACTTTTGGGTTGTTAACTTGTGTGTTTGCAAGAAACGTATTCAGCAAATGGAAGTTAATGATTCCGGAGCTGAATTCAGCTTTGTGTTTAATCTTCTGCCTTGCTGGGCTGGTTAGGAACTAGTCCATCTTTTACTGTCCACTATATTCCTATCAGTGAGGCTGATAATGACTGTTGAGCAACTGATATTTTGTTTGTGGATGTTAGACTTGATCCTGTTTTGCCTACTCAACAAGGGACTGCATTTGTTCCTGTCTGCATATGGGTATCTGTACATAGCACTTGGCGTGTGGTGCAGCAGCACAGGTCCAGTGCTTAAAAAAAAATAGCAGCAGCACTGCTTGGTGTATACAGGCAAGCAGAAGTTGTCAGCTGTAATAACTGGCTGTAATGGCTGGTGCAAGTTGCCCTGGGTGTACAGTGAGTGAGTGAACAGCCAAGCACAGACCAAAGTGTGTGTCTTTCAGAGGAATGCGAGTGGGATGGGTAAGGGGCCCAATACTAGAGAATACCTTAATAAAGACTAGGTGTAGTTGAACCATGAGCACAGATGTGATGTAAATACTGTCATTTATTTGCTGTGATGAGCAGCATAAAGTTAATTATAAGTTCTGTATGGTCTGGTGAGTTGTCTGTGTTCTGTTATAATGAGACCTAAACGAGATACTGTGGGCTCTCAGCCTGTACCTCTGGCACACAAACTTGTGGTTTAGAAGTATTTCCTATGGGAAATGGTGTGGCAGCTGAAGAAGTGCGTTTGAATAATGTGCATTATATTCCTAATAGGGAACCTGCCTTCTCTCTGTGCATCACGACTAGGTTTTCATTTCACATTTACGACTGGTGGTTTCAGTGTTTAACTTTTTCTGGCAGCAGGGTTGCTGTAGGATCCCAAGCTGTTACACAGCCCTTTTACATAGCCCTTACACACAGCCCTGGTAATTCTGACAGGAAACGATACTACATCAGGCTTTTTCTTGTTTTGGACTTATTTTAAGAAAAGTGATTCATGTAAATACATTCTGAATTATCTAAAAAAAATATATATAAGATTAATTTTGACCATTTGCTCTGATCTGAGATTCTTGATTTACAGATGTTGCACTGGTAATCCCTAATAAATTGAACTCTTAGAATGAAAGCCAGGATTATCCTCAGTTTTACATCTGGACTGTTGCGATTAAGACAAAATAGATACTGGTGTTACACAGTTTCTCTTTAGGAAATGAACTATACATGTATATATGTTTTTGCCCCTTTTATACAAACTGATTATTATTGAACATCAATCACAACTGAAAATTTCTGTAGCATATTTTAAAAATGCATAAATATAGCTAAAATTAAAATGCATGTCCTACTTTTGAGAATCAGCTGCTAGTAGGCCTGATAGAAGAATGAAACATTTTTTTTTTTTTTTAGAAAAGACATGATGAGAATGTTATTGTGAAGCTGTAGCTGCTGCTTCCCTATACTTGACAGTAAACATTCAGCAAACATAAACTCTTACCAGAGCTGAAATGAGGAAAGATGGCTTTCAGTAGGCTGTCCTCACTGTTCGCTGAACATTAACATTAACATTAACATTACATCAGTAAGAGATGTCAGTAGCCCAAGGTGCATCTGATCTCTTTTGTTACAGTTCTTCTCTGTATTTTCATGTATTTCCTTTGTTACTTGAGTGTTCTGGTTCTACCATATGCACTGCTTAAAAAGATGCATGTTTTCATCACATTAAATGAAGTCTAACACAATTGGTCGTTTGAAGTCTGGTAGTAAGTTACAGTAGCAAGTTATTTTTTAATGAAAAGTTATACTTTACCTGATATTAGTCACAATTCTTTGAACTTCCTTTTAATCCTAAGGGAAACAAAACAGTAAACTTTTAACTATTGAATTTATTGGTAAATTTTGCCAGAGTAACAGCATGATTATTTGCAACTGCCAGCGTAGCTGCTGTGAAATAAGCTGTTCAACAGTCTCTAGCGTGGCTGCTCTGATTCCAGAAAGCCGTGCTCTAACTGAATGTGTTAAGTTAGAGGAAGGCAATGTAAATGTGACCACAGAGGAGACATCTTGCAGAATAGGCTTGTCAGGACTGTAGATTTTTTATATAATTATGTTTACATGGTAAGTAAGACATCAGTCTGTTGGTGAAAAATCAAATCTAAATCTTTGTTTGGCATTTAAAGACAGTGGGAGTTCCTAGGTGTGTTTCACAGTGTTGAAATTGTGCGAGACAAACTGTAGAAAAACTTGTCAGCATTGTCCAAGCAGCCTTTACATTAAATGAGAAAAAAATATTAGACATTGTAGTTACACACAGTTGATGCCAAAGTTTGCTAGTGGTTCCCTGGGCTTCTGTGTAGTAACTTCAAATATCAATGCTGTTATATCTTTACCAGCCACTGCTCCACTGCCACCTCCCCATTATTCATGATTAATTTTGGCAATATAAACTGAGAAACGGAGTTTACTGAATCTACTACTTTTGACTTTTTTTTTTTTCTTTTTTGTTTTGTTGTTTTAGTCTAAGCTCTTCAGTAGTAAACCAGATTTTTTTGACAATTATTTTTAAAGCAAGTATCTCTTAACTAAAATCTCTCCTCCTCAAGAAAAAGCATTTGCAGTACTCAAATCTGTGGTCAAGTTTCAATTGACAGCTTGCTTCTTATGATGTTTATGCTGCTACTGTCTATTCAATATTAAAATGTCGAAGACGGGTTTTAATGTCTTTCAAACTAGTGAATTCTTGAGTTCATGTGCATCTGGGAGGAGATGAGGGTTTAAATTCAGACTGTATTTGTCAAGGCAATTAGTTCAGTGATCCAACAAGCCCACCTTTTAGCCGCAAAACATTGTGGTGAAGACATTACTTCGAGCTTCTTTATACTGAATTTCATTAGGCCTTCCTATATGCTCTGTGTAAGCCCCTTGGCATTTGTTTAGCTTGGATAGTCACAAATAGAAGAGCTTAGAGTTGGCTTTAAAGTGTGGCATCTGAAGGAGGAAAAAGAGGAATCAGATAGCCTTATATACCCTGTTTTGTTTTCCTTCTCCTTGGGACTGAACACTGATATCTGAGCAGAACTGCTGTGGTGTCCTCAGATTAAAGTGGAACTGTTTAGTGCAGTTCATTGGCTATTAGTGTATGTTTATGATTTTTTTTTTAAGATATTTATCTGGCTTGTGGGTAGATCTAAATATTTCCTTTGAGGGATTACACTTGCAATTGTGTGGGTATTGCACTTTTCTCTTGTAAGAGATAGGTGTATTTGTGTAAATACCTGTTTACTTACATATTTGTGTGAACACTTATTTATATAAGCATGTACTTGGCTTTTAGGAACTAGGCTTACTAGGTCTTTGTGAAAGGAGATTTTTTTTTTTCTCGACTCATTCAGTATTGTTCACAGCATTAACACATCACTGAACAAATTGCCCTCTTGCATATGCTAATCCTGCACTTAAAAGAACTCATTGTAACACGTTTTAATGCTTTAGCTGGAATGGAGATGGAGATGGGAATCGCAGGCTTGTCAAATTGTCACGTGACTGAAAAATGTCTAAAATGCCTTTCTCTTTGGGTCAACAGTTTGTACTTCGCATAACTTAGCATGAATGAAAGCAGTCCATGTAGTTTGAAGAAAAGATTAGTCTTTGCCTTTGTCTTTTGTGTATGTTCACCTCAGTTTTTCAGATCAAGTCTGATTAAACATCATTTTAGCCTTAATTTCACACTAGTAGTGAATGTTATGCTGGAATTAAAAATGTTTGATCTTTGTTTGCAATACATTTTGTGAAGATGACCAACTGAAGTTTACAGGAGCTAACAAATGATTACTGTGTAACGTTATTTGGTAAATATTTCTTATTTTCAGTGTTAAAAGCAAGTTGCCATAAATGTATCCATGCTTACAGGTGGAGATATACTGAATCCACATCTATTTATAATGATCTGGAATTGAGCAATAAATGAGATTATATGTAGTAAGTCTCTTATAATATGCTATCTGGATATTAGAGAAAAAAAAAAAAAGTCATTGTTACCTGCTTATGCGTAAACAGAAAGTCTGCTTCTCCTAAACAGTAAGTTCAGTTGAATTAAGTAGTTAAATAGGTAAGTTGAACAATGAAAAGCCAAGCTACTTGGGATGTATGAAGCTGTACATGTTTTTGTGGAGGACTTTGAGATGAATTAAACTGAATGAAAGACATCTAGGTATCACATTCCTAAAGCACCTATCTCATCCAATGTGAGTTCTAAAGCATATATGAAGGAATTTTGAGAGGAATTTTTGATTTACCTTGTTTTTTGTCTTTACAGAGTAATTCTCTGTTGGTCCCGGACAGTCTGCGAAGCACAGATAAACGCAGGAATGGTCCTGAATATACCAATGACATCAAAAAGAGGAAGGTGGATGATAAGGAATCCAGCCATTATGTAAGCAAATCTGTGTCAAAGAAATCATTCATTTATTTGCACATACTGTGCTTGTATGAGGAGTAAAAGAGATGTGAAGAGCAAGGCAATTGTTTCCTGTGGCTGACGTAGAACATGAATATATGTGGGAAGAGCAGTCACACAATAGTTTAAGCTATTGTCAAGTGATACTCCCCAACAGGGAATAATGAGACGCGAGTGGCTGTTTGGATTCACAAGTATACTGGGACATTTCTCAGAGTTCCAGCAAGAGATGCTTTCTGGACTGCTCTAAAACCTGCAGGTCTCTTTGAGTATTTTGTTGATCTGGTGGGGTTTATTATGTATTTCCTACAGTATCTATTACCATGTTTAGTAATAATGATCATTGCAAATTGCGTATACGGCTGTACATTAAAGTTTGGTTTATATGGCTATTTCGACAGAAAGCAAATTGAAATATAAAAAGCTCAGAGTTTGCATTCTGCGTTTCTGACCAGCTTGCCTGTTGCTTGGTTTTGAAGAGACAGTCCGGTACAACAGTGCAGTGTATGTGAACCTCATAAAGTTGACACAAGCTTTCAACTTCCAGTCTAAATGGTCAGCCAAATCACAGGATGACACATGAACAGGCTTTAGACCCTAGGACTAGTGAGAGACACTACTGAAAAAAACAGAACTTAAATCTAAAAGAAGATACTATTCTTTGATGTAGCAACAATGTGGCAAATTTTCTGGTTTATATAAATCCAATTACTAATTATTGCTTCCTGGTTATTGAAACCCATAGAAAATCAAATGCCACTTTATTTCTTCAGAATTCAGTAGGATAATTTCTCTCTGCTTGGACCCAGAATGTCTCTAAGCAGCTATTATTTATACCTGGCACTACTGACAGTGTATGGGGGTTACTCTT